TTTGGATATTTCTCTCTTGTGAGCGAACAGATGACATTTCGCCGGAATTTGGCAGTTGGTTGGTTTCTGTTGGAGATTTTAAACGAACGCACCTTATGTTCCCGCACTGGAGTTTGTAGCAATTGTGCGCGATGGAGCGAACAAACATGGCGCATTCGTTTGGTCGGTGTTATGCAGAAATTTTGTTTGGCAAACTGCGTGCAATTGTTGTTGCAGCAAACTCGGAGAGAGCGAGTTTGGCGACTCTCACAGCAAACTAATTTTGTTTGGTCAAACTGCAGCAAATTCGGTGTTGTCATATACAAAAATTTTAAATTTTGCGCGTTATGTACATCTGAAATTCTCATTTCGTGTTGGCAATAGCCATGAAAACCATAATGAACGTGCAACCCTGTGCCAAACTCGACATAACCACCACCGAGCAAACTACGCAGCCGCCATTTAATTTGGCAAACAAAAGTTTGTCTGCATAACACCGACCTTTGTTGAACGAAAATCTGAGAGCGAGTACATGAAAAGTACCTAGTGAGAGAAGGAAATCAAATTTGTGCCGAAAGCCGATCCAGAAATTACAGATCGGCGTAATAGCTGAAACCAAAGCGATTTTTATTTTCTTAATTTCGGTTATCTTATAGAAATTTTCAAATAAGATGGTGTCAAATCATTGTTCTCCGCTTCTGTACAACAAATACATCATTAGCCGTGTTTTATTTGTCCAGAAATTTAAGCTATTAGCTTATTTTGTATGGAGGACTTACCCAACATAATTATATTGGCTTATGAAAAGTTATCTTGGCTTATATATTGAACAAGAGGCATTGCCATTCAGCATCGGAAATTTTCTCCTTCAGCCAATCAGAAAGAGGCAAAAACTTACTCTGACGCTATTTGCAGTCAAACAACTGTCAAAATTAGGCTAACATAGGAAATAATTTCGTTTTATTTGACCAAGATTTAGCTATTTGCTTGTGATAGTTGAATAAAACATGCCTATTTTTACATTTAGGTCAGATCTTGTGTAGTTGGATTATGATTTTTTATCTTGATAAAAGCATTTGTAAGGTGGCTATTTTTTCCGGATTTCATCACATAAAAATTTAAAACATATGCTATTTCACACCCAAGCGAATAATAACAAATATTTAATAGAAAACAGCTAAATTTTTGCCTTTATATCGAAATATCAATAATGTTGTCTCCACGAAGCTATCGGGCAAATGAAAATATAGCTGTCAAAGTACCAAATTGCTGGCAATATTTATCAAGATAAAAGCTCTGTTAATTTATGCTTGCCAAGAGCAATATGCGGTCTCCATGGGCAAAATTTTGCCTCGTAACATTATCAAGATAAAAACTTTTGCCTGTGGAGACATCTAGTAAGCATACAAATGAAATTCTTTGCCTTGCCAACGTTCACGCTAGGGCGAATTTATACAAGGTGGTGTTATGGTCTGATTACGCATACTTCGCATAACTTCGCACAACTTCGCATAAACTTCAAACTGTAATTTCGTATGTACTTTGTATGTATTCCATTACCCAGAAGTTAGCAGAACTTTTAAAAACTTGGCGATATTGAGTTTAGATTTAGCTTCACATTTTCTTAAGCTACACTTTTAGTGCTCTGGTACAAATGGTTGTGCGAAGTTATGCGAAATATGCATAATCATACCCTTACTTCCATGCGTCCAAGTTGCGTGTGATGACAGACAACTCCGCACACATGAACCAAAAATTTAAAACCAGGCAAGAACGCGACGTTGTATTTGTAACTGGTTTTGAGAAAAGTTTACCAAAGCGGGTTCGTCAGCTGAGCATTTGTTTACATCACACTTTACGCTTTTCTTTAACTAAAGAGTTAATTCAACACGACATGTTTTAAAGCTTTTTAATGAATCATTTTAGCCGAATCGTATGTTTAAAATGACTTGCAATAATTTTGGTTAATTCTGGTTTTCTTTGCTTTTACTTTTTTTCGTTTTCCAGCGAAACCAGATGGCGTAGAACCCGCTCAAAAAATCAACTTTTTTCACTCCCTTGTTCTTACGTGATCTTGTGTCTTCGTTCATGCACAGGTGTAAATTGGGTGTAAATGCAGTCCTAGGAATACTGGCCGATTCTGAACAGAAACTCCCCGAGAGTTTCCTCTCTTTTCCCTTTCCTCCTATCATGAATAAAAATTCCCCCGAGGATTTTTTATATTAAATGGCCAAGTTGAGCTCTCAAAAGCGTCAAACAGCTTTTTTGATGTTGGAATTTCCTCCTCGCAAGTTTTCGGGGAAAAAGCTACTACCTGGGAGTTAATTATTGGTGGATTTCTTTCTCGGGAGAAACAAACTCCCCGGGAGTATTAAGAATTGGCCTGATAATAAAATTAACCCCATTTCGCAAATACTGGACACGAAATGTAGTTTTGTTTCCCGAATGGTTGAAATTTTTGACTGTTAATTTTTTTAACTTTTGTAAAAAATGGATTAATGGCCCTATTATGAATGGCAACTAGTATCTAGTTGCTGGTCTAGTAGCCAAAAGGCTACCAGTATCGTACTTTGTATTATGTATAGCGATTAATCTCAGTATACAGAAAAGCGCAGACAACGTCCAAATTTACTTTTTTGACTTGTGCATTTCGAAGTAATTGGCAACTTTGCTCCGATGCGCTTAACAATTTATGTAAATAACAAAATCGTCACAAGCGGGAAACCAAAAATTTCGCGACCAGACTCAGTAGCCAGTTGCTATACATTTCACATCGGCTATCAGTTGCCATGCATAATAGAGCCATTAATTTCGATAATACTACCGATAGTGAAAACTGAAACTATCGAATGGCGAACACGATGCTTTGGCCCGATGCATTTCTGAAGAGGACGCAGCCATTCCCTACTCACTTAATATATAATTGAAATCAACATTCGACAGGCGTTTGATTAACAACAGTTTTTAAGTTACTCTGAAATTTTCTTTATTAACGTTCATATAACATTTTTGAATCCATCAAAATAAGCACCTGAAATAAGAGAAAAATTAGTTAGTTTTTCTACAAAATAAATTTATAGATGTAATAAATACAGCAAAGATTGTCAGTGTAGTTTAATCATCAAGATTGTCTTTATGACAGGGATAACTAAAAATCATCATTAGCAATGATATTATCGAGCTGTAAATGAAAGAATCCTTACCGATATGAGCAAGGATCATTGTCTTAACGTGGTTTAAAGCAGAACTGGACCGTAAATGCCTCCTTTGTTCTTGCATTCCTGAATTAAATAAATTTATTATTAGATGGCTTCTACTTATACTTACATATAAGAAAAATTACATGTTTAGTCAGACGAAAGTAATCAACATAGGAAATTCAGTTATATGCTTGTCTACTTTAATTATCATCATGAACGTGCGTTGTATGGAAAATTAATTTAAATGAACTAACCTTAAAACGTCGTTTACACCATAATTAAATGCTGCCACATTTTATACCATAAGTATTGGATGTCTTGACTTAAACTTCCTTAGATCAACGAAAATTCCGAAGGAATCCATTTATCCAGAAATTTAATCCACATTATCACCACTTTCTTAGGTGAATGCATGCAATTTAATCATATGAAGGTTTAGTTCATCCACGGAAGCTGAAATAACAAAATTTGCTTGCTTAATCAATTATAAAATTAGTCAGATTTCCTAAATGCATTAATACAAAGCATCAATCTCTAAACTATGTTTGATGGAAACGCCTAATTTGAGCAACTAAGTCCCAATTTGGCATTTCCACGTGGTTGTGCATATTGGACATTTTCTTCAGGTATAGTTTAGAAATAAAAGAGACATGCTTTGCATTGATGCATTCAGGAAGTCAGCCAAAAATGTTCTAGATAGGAAATTCAGTTATATATTTGTCTATTTTAATTATCGCAAACGTAAGTTTGTATAAAAAAATGTATTCATAATGAACTAACCCTAGGCACCGTTTAAGCCATAATTGAATGCAGCCACGTTTTTCTTCACGCGCCTAAAATTAAAAAAATATCTACATAAGTGTTACGTCTACTAATAGTCAATATACAATTTTCTAATCCTAATTATCAGAAGTTTTAACCAATCGTCAGTATTTATCCGACTGGGGCGGTAATATTAAGCATCATGTTTAAACATTTTGATAAGTCGATTCTTCTTCATTGAAGTTACCTTTTAGCAGCAGACATCAATTAACCTAAACGTGCTTAGGTCGACAATTTTCAAGGAATCCATCTATCCAGCTATTCACCATTAAATGCAGCCATGTTTTTCTACACGCGCCTAGAATTAAAAAAATACCTACATAAGTTACGTCTACTAATAGTCAATATGAAATTTTCTGATCCTAATTATCAGAAAGTTTTAACCAATCGTCAGTATTTATCCGACTGGGGCGGTAATATAAAACATCATGTTTAAACATTTTGATAAGTCAATTCTTCTTAATTGAAGTTACCTTTTAGCAGCGGATATCACATAACCTAAACGTGCTTAGGTCAACGATTTTCAACGAATCCATCTATCCAGCAATCCAATCCACACTATCACTAGCGTCAATACAGATCTTGGAGATTCAACTCTCAAACAATTTAATCCACGATGCTTAGTTGAACCCCAGCGAAGCTGAAATTAAACCACAATTTAATTTCGATAGCCCGGTCAACGCAAAAAGTATATTATCCGCAATATCAGCAAATAAAACCAAATCGTCATTTTCTTTCCGACTGGGGCGGTATACATAAACATCATAAAAATTCAAATTACAAAATATTTCTTTTAAGAACTCACCATTTTTTGCTTAAGATTTTCTTAAAATTATAAAACCCGCTCACGGAGAATCCAAGGCACATGTTGACTGGAAGCAAATCCAAAATGAAATGAACGCTTCCGCAGCGCCATTTGTCGACGATTTATTTATCAAGCAGTAGTACCAATATTTAAAACTGATGAAGGCGACACCTATATGTAAGTTCGTACCAAACCAAAGTTCTCGGCAGTGTTGCCGTTTTGTTCTTTTAACCCATTTTGGTTATTTTTTTCTTGCCTGTGAAGTTGTTAATAGGGAATTTACATGATTCAACTTTCACAGGCGATTAGTTGAACCAAAAGTTGAACGAAAGCAGGCAGCCGACCAACATCACTGCAACCGATTAGTTGAAAGGCAACTAAAAATCACCTGAAATATCGCCTCATGTAAATTCGCTATAACGCAGAGTTTTTGCTGCATTTAAAATGCAACATTTAGCACTTTCGAACATGTGTTTTCGAAGAGCGTTCATGCTATCGCATTTAGCAAATGTACATTTACGCGAAATCGATCCAGATTTCTATCAGCATCACATCGATGTTGAATTTGCGTAACTTTTCTTTATCCAAATAATCTAAAATAATAAATGAAATCTCCATCGGCGCTCACTGAAACGCAGCTAGCCACTGTATACGCGAAAAAGCAATGTTGCCACTTTTTCTCATTAAAGCAAATGTAATCTCTGCGAGCAATGGGCGATCTCAATTAGATATTTATATTCTAACATATGTATCAAGATATAAACTTTATCCTGTGGAGATGGGCAGTAAACTATAATTGATTTCCACCAAGCCTTAACTGCAGTTTATGCCGTTTGAAAACGAAGATAACAACTCGAAGGGGGTAATTCCACCTATTAGGCAGAAGAAAACGAAAGGAAAAAAGCAAAACTTAAGGAAAAAATCTTGCCGATGACTCCATGTTGGAATAATTTGAACTTCTCTGAGCTCTTAACTGCAGTTAAGCCTTTGGTGGAAATAGGCTATTAGCAACTACAAGCTTGCACTGAATTATACTAAAATTTAAATGCTATAAAACTGCATACAAAAAATGTTTATATATTTTCGAATTAAAAAGCTTAAAATTTTGATGAAACTATTCTTTTTTCATGTTTATGGTAAAATCCGCCAGGGTGTGTGGAGCGGTTGTTTAAGCGTTTACACGATCAAATATCGGTAGCCATAACACTATAGCTCTGATCCAGTACTCCATGAACTTACAGGATTTTACACGAAGTTGCAGGAAAAATGTTCCCGTACTCAACAATCCTCCAAAATCCTGTAAATGAGAGCGACTTTTGGAGAGTTGTGTAGATAATGAAGTTGCAAGATTTTACCCGAACTTTTTCTTCTGGTAAAATCATGAAAAGTGTCAGGCAATCACTGGTTGACGTTTTTACAGGAAAAATGGTTTTTTGTTCCCGTACTTTTTGTTGCTACTCACTTTTTACTCTCACTTCAGAGAGTAATTTTGCTATTTGACAGTTTTACAGGATTTTTCACGAAAAGTATTGGATCAGAGCTTATGTTGTCGCACATGTTGGATAGTGTAAACCTCGCTTTTATTGTAAGGTGTGACTGTAAGTGCTTTCAGAAATTTCTCAATTTGACATCCTTTCGAAATATATTGCATTGTCACGTATGACACCACTTTATTACGCGACTACAAAATCTTTTCTGTAGTGATGTGCTGAGTCAATACTTTTAAGTAAAGATCGAAATTCGGTACCGATTTAAAAAGTATCCAGTACTCCCGATACTCGGTACCGAAACATTTAGGTTTCGAATAAAAGCGCGTATGGAAAAAACGGTTCAGGGAGACTCGCCTATCAAAACCCGAATGTAGGAGCCAATAGAGCTTCTAATACTGATTCAAAATAAGGATGTATATATGTATATTCGCATAATGCAGAGAAACTCTTACTTGTTTGAAGCACTTTTGTTCCAGCTGAATCGGACGATATCATTTTTGTATGCCTGGAGCAGATTCTCTAACCAGTTAGCGACAATTTTCGAATCGGTATCGGTTTTGTTGACGTATGATATGAAATATGTTTACGCCAACAAGTGCGATATTGATCCGAAACTTGTCGTTAACTGTTTACAAAACCACCCACCTGAAAGGCTTCTTCATCCGTCAAAGCATTTTTCTTGAACCTAGGATCGACTAAGGTTATAACTGATAAAATAATATTTCTCTGTTGGGATAAGTTCAAGTGTTGTAGCCGATAAAATATAAATTAGTAATGAAAGTTTTTTCCAAACTTGAAATGCATATAATGACGAAGGTGTAATGTAATGTATCGGGTACCGAAAAAGAAAACATCACTACTTTTGTTGTTTTTACATCGCCTTTGTGCACTGTTGCTTCGTCATTATCAGTTTTTCAGAAGATTTGCAATTTGCAGTAATTTTTCCATTTAGTTATATTTAAAGCAACGTATTATTCACTTCACTTAAAGGAAACTTGCAAACAAGTGGAAATTGTCTGCGGTTAGTAAACTAAAAAATGTATAATCAAATCACATTCTTATATTTTAATTAAAATTTTATTGTTTAATTGCGTAAAATTTTAGGTAAACGTTAAAGATGTTTAAAATACTGTTGATTGTAGCTGCCGTTGTTTGCGGCTGTAATTCTGAGCTGCTTCGGGTCCCACTCAAGCGTTTCAAAACAGCCAGGCACCATTTTTCAGATGTCGGCACGGAGTTGCATCAATTACGTATTAAATATGCAAATGGTGGTGTAGCTCCTGAACCGCTTTCCAATTACCTAGATGCGCAATACTATGGCCCAATATCTATTGGAACTCCCCCGCAGAGCTTCAAAGTAGTTTTTGATACAGGTTCCTCAAACCTCTGGGTACCATCGAAGAAATGCCATTTAACGAACATCGCCTGCTTAATGCACAACAAGTACGATGCTACAAAATCTAAAACATACGAAAAAAATGGCACCGAATTTGCCATACACTACGGTTCTGGTAGCTTGTCTGGATATTTATCATCTGACACTGTAAATATCGGTGGACTGAATATTAAAAACCAAATTTTTGCCGAAGCTATGAGCGAACCCGGACTAGTATTTGTTGCAGCGAAATTCGACGGTATTCTTGGCTTGGCTTACAATTCGATATCTGTGGATGGAGTTAAACCCCCATTCTACAGCATGTATGAACAGGGTCTTATCTCGGCACCAATATTTTCCTTTTATCTTAACCGTAATCCTGCTGCACCTGAAGGAGGTGAAATCATATTTGGTGGGTCAGATCCAGAGCATTATGTCGGAGACTTTACCTATCTTCCTGTAACCCGCAAAGCATATTGGCAAATTAAGATGGACTCCGCTTCAATTGGCGATTTGCAGCTTTGCAAAGGAGGATGCCAAGTTATCGCCGATACAGGTACCTCATTAATTGCTGGGCCCACACAGGAAACCACTGCTATTAATCAAGCTATAGGAGGAACACCTATAATGGGTGGACAGTATATGGTTTCGTGTGATATGATACCTAAACTTCCAGTAATTAAATTTGTATTGGCCGGAAAAACGTTCGAGCTAGAAGGCAAAGATTATATATTGCGTATCGCGCAAATGGGCAAAACTATTTGCTTATCCGGTTTTATGGGCATGGATATACCACCACCAAATGGTCCACTATGGATTCTAGGAGATGTATTCATTGGTAAATACTATACTGAATTCGACATGGGTAATGATCGCGTTGGTTTTGCCACGGCAAAATGAATTTAAGTAGTTATAAAAATAGAATAAGTCTGATTGGAGGGAGAATGATATGAAGACAGAAATTGAATAGAGTACTATCTATGGCGAGTAAATTTCCATGCAACAACATGTGGCGATTTTGTGTGCATCAAATGTATTTTCAGGCTTTAAATAAATAAAATTGATAAATCAAATATAACCTCGTATAAATTCGTTTCACTTGTGAAATGTGTGAAATGTCCATCTAAACATTAATATTTTTCTTTATACATATATGTATGTAGGCCGATAAGAATGTACTAATGTAAATGTACTTTGTTTACAATTGACTTACGCAAGGAAGATCCATTTTACTTATGTATGTATGTTAATGACTCATTTGCATTTTTTTATGCAATCCCCTTTATTTTATGGTATGTGTGCACGTCAGGGAAATTGCCAATATTTGCATTCGAATTCGTTATGCGAATGATTCGCACCATTTTACACATTCGCATTCGCATCAAATGATACGAATATTTTGCGAATGCGAATGTGTACTTGGGCACTTAACGACCACTACACAATCGCAGCTTAACGCACATACATATCGAGCCTTATTTTCGATTTTATCGTAAGCGACAAAAGGCAAATTTTACAGGAGGTATTTTTATTTCATCCTTAAACGGTGTAATATTTTATTTAGGTTTAGATGGACAACAAACAGCTGGCTTTTAGATAGGACTGTTAATTTTTAACGCACATACATATCGAGCCTTATTTTCGATTTTATCGGAAGCGACAAAAGGCAAATTTTACAGGAGGTATTTTTATTTCATCCTTAAACGGTGTAATATTTTATTTAGGTTTAGATCGACAATAAACAGCTGGCTTTTAGATAGGACTGTTAGTTTTTTTCATATAATTCGTACTATTCAAAGGTATAATGGCGCTTACGATACTTTTCGTCATTATGCTGGGAGGCAATGTTTCAAAGTATTTGCGTTTATGATAGTTTTAATATTGTGTGTTCTAGCCATTTAAACAAAAAGGAGAGCGGATACTTTATGGATTGTTTGAATAAACTCAACATGATTTTCAACATTAACTGATTGGTGCCTCTAATAGAGGCCCTTATTATGAGCTGCATTCGATTTTCGATCTTCGCTGGCTATCGAAGATCGAAGATCGAAAGTGGAATTCGTATTATGAGCTATGCAAGCGTGTCGAAATTTTCGTTGAGTATCGAATTTTCTGTCGAACAGAATTTTGCTTTCGATGGTGTAGCGAAGTGTTAGAAAATTGTGAAAAATGTATGATTTTGTATATGTTTTCTTACATTTTGGCGGCTAGACATTAATTTTAAACAATTTTTATTAATTTCATGCAGTTC